CCCTCCTTCATTTAAACCTGGTTCCCTCGTAATGTAGCAATGAGATTATGTGCTACGTTTTTTATCATTTAACTGTTGTATATTGTTTTATGTTGTTTTTAACTATATTACTGTTTAATACTGTTTTAAGGGGGGAGGGATATGTTGCTTATTGTAACTGTTTTTATCTTGTAAACCGCCCGGATTGGGTAACCATTGGGCGGTATAGAAATAAATTTTATTATTATTATTATTATTCCTAACCATATGCCTCAGGGACACACACACACTAACAAAAGGGCACAAAGGGGTCACACAGGACCAATTTCCTGTTATCACACAATGTTCTGTGATATATGTGAGAAAATTTCCTTATTCCATCACTTTCTCATGTTTTTATCTATACTTCTATTTATTTCTTTTTCTGCAGTGATATGCATTAAGAAAGATCATCTCAGAATGGATATTTAAATGTGCATTGTCTCTCAAAGTGCTTATTGGGAAATACTTAAATGATGAAAAACTGCATCATGATAGGGGGCAAAATTCAGAGGTTAGCAGTTCCATTCTGCAAATTAGCCTGAGAGATGCAGATCAAGTTGCATTCTATAGGAATTCAGGTCAACCATTTCAAACATTCCTAAACAGCAATAACAAACCTATTTCAAATGATTATTCAATTACACTGTTATGACTACTTTATACTGACATAATTTTGGAGACCAAAATGACAAACTTTAAAACAAAACAAAATAATAATAATAATAATAATAATAATAATAATAATATGTATAGCAGAAATTGAAGATTTTTGTGTTGGGTTACAATTCCCATATATGTAAGCTTCTTTTTAACCTACTACTGCTCTACATATCAGTGGCCCTCAAGCCAAACAAATATAGCAAGCATAAAGTCCATGACTCCTGTTTCTATTCAATAAATGAATGAATGAGCAGAGATTTATTGAAGTGCTGCTGCATAAAACTTCCACATGTGATTGGTGGGACTGCATTTGTCAGAAGTTCTGCTCTCTCAGCTTTCTGTCTTGTATTTCTGACAACATTCGTTAATCTTTTAGATATATCTATGATTATGCACATCATTCCAAATAATCTCTATTTAAATTTGCATCTCCATTTTGATGCATAGAATCATGACATTTAAAGAGCTAGGTTGCTCTTAAAAGCCTGACAATCTCCAAGTAGTAACCTGATAGAAATGTGTACTTTAAAGTGTGCAGAAATTCACCTAAACTAAAATTCACTCTCCCATATTTTTTGGCAAGCTTATCTATAAGTTTCCAGCCTAATGATTTCTCTAGGTATCTCACATATAAAACAAATTGGTTTATATTGGGAATTCAAGAAGCATGGATGAGGTGCTGTGAAAACATTGTAGCCAGAGGGCTTAGATTTATCTTGCATACTGTGGGTAGGAGGAATATACACACACAATAAGGAATCACAGCTGGGATTTAAACAAATGGCAATCATTTAAATGTCTTCCTCTCCTTACGCCTCCCACCTTTAAGTCATTTTACAGGCAGCCTGAGGGCAAATAAGATTGTCTATCAATTTATACCCAAGATTACACCTAAAAAGGACCCTATGGGGATGCTTTAAGCCTCAAAGTATTGCCCGTTCCTTTTTAGACATCATTTTTATTGTTGCATTGAGGCCTTAGAAAGGCCTCAATGCTTTTCCACAATCACTTTTCCTCAGAGTATATTCACTTTTCCTCAGACTGATTGGAAAGGAAAGTGCAACCTGAAAGTGATGATGATGTAGAGTTGTGTCTGGTTGGGGCATGCAAAATGTCCCAGTGGGAAACCTTAGAAGCACTAATTTTATATGTTCAATAGCAAGACATTTGGGAATAAAAGCGATTCATCTGTGAGAAGTTTTCTGTGGTTGACTATCGTCCTCTAGAGAGGAACTAAGGAAAAAATTTTCCCAATGGGTCCAGGTTTTCTTGGTTAGGTAGAACAACTTTGATGAAGATGCACTTTCTAGAAAAAAAAAAACTATTTTTATGAGTTTTAATGTGTGTGTGTGTATATATATATATATATGCCTTCAAGTCCTGTTGACTTATGGTGACCTCATGAATTACATAGGATTTTCTGAGGCAAAGAATACTCACAGGTGGTTTGGCCAAACCTTCCTCTATAATATAGCCTATAGTACCTGGTATTCATCTATAGTCTCCCATCCAAGTACTAAACAGGGCTGACAGTGCTTAACTTCCAAGATCAAATGGGATGTGGTGCATTTAGAATATTTAGGCCTTCCATTGTACATTCCTTCTGGAAGATTTGAGGGAAAAGAACAATCAATTGTGACAAACATTTTAGATGAAGATGTTCCTATATACAAATATTTAGGGGGGGGAAACTACTAAGGGAAGATATTTGGTTCTGTCTAAAATTAATATATTTTATTATGGTATGCAAGTACAATTGTTGGTGTTCTAAGGTTGAAAACGTATGATTCCTTGCCATAGTACTTAGCAAACCTAAGGTCCTGGGATCATAGATTTTAACAAATCTCCCTTTCCATTCATGGATAGAAATGTCTGCAGATACAGAAGGGCTCTGACTTCAGATTCTTCCCAGCCTTTGGTGCTTCATCACTTACAATTATTGTTTGTTCTAGTTGTGTGCTTTCATTTCTGACTTATGATGACACTAAGGTGAATCTATCATGGAGTTTGCTTGGCAAGATTTGTTCAGGAGGGGTGCCTTTGGCTTCCTCTCAGGTTCATGACTTGCCTGGTGTCACCTAGCAGGTTCCATGGCTGAGCAGGGATTCGAACCTTGGTTTCTAGTCATAGTCCAATGCTCAAACCACTGTACCACACTGTCTCTCTCCATTATTGTGTTAACAACAATAGTAGGGATTGTATATGGATCTGAAGTCCTTTCAACCAACACACACACAGAGAGAATGACAGAGAACAAGAGAATGGGATATGGGCGTTCCAAGTCTGTAACATGGAGAACAGGTCTGTAACATGCTCTGTAACACAGAACAGTGTTCTGTGTAGTCATGCTGGCCACATGATCACAGAGTAGTCTCTGACAACACTGGCTCTTCAGCTTAGTAATGGAGATGAGCACTGCCCCCTATGGTCGGACATGACGACAGCCTTGTCAATGGGGAATACGTTTACCTTTACTTTTAACATGGAGTACTCTGCTGGAAAAGAAGGGAGAAGAACACCACCTCCCTGTCTTCCACCTTTCTAATTGAGGGGTATCTCTGCCTTAGATTTTCTCTCTCCCACTCCTATTGAATTCCTGTATATATTTGTTTTTATGAAAAGACAATGTCAATAAAGGGAAATAGAACACACACATCCCAGTTCCCTTTGAAATATGCATTGAAACATTTAGAAATGAATACAATGTCAAAAGCAATCCTAAAGACCACAACAATTTAATATTTAACAATGTTAAAAGCCATGACCTTTAAAAGTGAGCATCTTCAACATATGAAGGTTATTTGGGTGGACAATAAGCTCTTCTATATTTATTTTAGTAGAATTTTTCTATAGTTAGGTGTTTCATCTCCATCATAATCATCATCATGCAGTAATGACAGGTTTTTTTTAATCAAAATTGCCATAGTGATAATTATGTGCCTACATTGCTGTTTTTTCCTCTCTCTAAGAATATATTATTTGCTAGAAAATACTTAAAAATTAAATTAGGGTGCTGATAACTTTTGAGAAAGATTTCTGTTAAGTTGGTCAGAAAAGGAAAATCTCATTAACCTACAAGATTCTTTTTGAAAACAGCTGTATAGATTACACAACAGATGAAATAACAGAAAATTATTTCAGTATAAATCTGTGCAAATGTAGCTGGAAGGTAGGTGTCTCCTTTGCAATTTACACAGCTTTGGATTTCTGAATCCAATGCTCAGTGGGATGGACAATGAAGGGCAGAACAGGGTTCAAATGAGGAGAATGTAAGATAGCACATGATGCTAAAAACCTTTACATATTAAAGCTGGATGGATAACTACTTTACCATATTTTAATTTCCATAGTTAATGCAATATTTAGGAGATCGTTTGCAGTTTGGGCCCCTGCAACTGGTAGAAAGGATGGTGGGGACTATATATATATATATATATATATTCACAACTTTGTAGCAGAGGTTAGTATGCTAATTTACTCTTAATGTTCTTCTTTGTGAAGCACTGAAATAATCATTCCCTCAAACCCAAACACCCTTAGAATGAAGCTTCAAAGAAAGATCTGCTGTTGTCTGCACCCAGGAAGCCATTTAACATTCAGTTAAACATGATTCAATGTTGTTGCATAGATGTAAGGAATCCTAGGGTTCCACAGGAGATTGCTAGGGGTTCTGCAATTGCAATTTGCTTTTCAGCTACAGATATAATAATTTTATGCAACCAGTGCCTCAGACCTGAACATTATTTCAAGAGTTTGTCCAGAATAAAGAGAAAGGCTGCTCTAGCTGGTTCAGAAAATTAATCCAATATTGGAACAAAGTCGCCCTCATGACGTCCTCCAAAGGCTGAAAATCTGGATTTAGTACTTTCCCCTAGCATTGGTTTTTAAGTGTTTCCAAATTTATTTGGCTGTCAGAAGGGAGATTTCAAAGTTCAGAACAGGCAGAGCCTAAAAGGGTTTTGGGTTTGTTTTGTTTTGTTTTTTGTAAGCAGAATGTGAAACCCAGTTGTAAATTTAGAGTGGGAGCTCCAACAGCAGAGACCTGCTTTTTGCTTTTGTCACTCAAAAAACAGCAAGTATATTGATGGTGCTATATAAATAATACATGTATGATTAGACTGTATTTCTAAAATTATCCCAAGAGGTTCAGTGTGATGTGTTCTGGGTCAACCTACCAATCACATTATCTTGATTTCACTCATCACATTAACTGGATTATGCCTCACAAACAACCCATTATGACCATTGTATGGGAGTGTACACACACACACACATAATCAGTGCATTCATTGGCATAAGGGTTTTTTTTCGGTGTGTGGGTTTCAAAAGTTGGATGGGAACAGACAAAACACAAGACCACTATGGTGTGGGAAATTGCCTAATGGCAATGGGCCAATGGGAAGCCAGCTCTAACCAGCACTTTCATATGTACTCTTATCTGCAAACTATTTCCTCTAATGCTGTAAGTATTACCGTAATGTCTATACTAAGAGATAGAAGAGGAAGAGTAGGTAAGATTTCAATTCCTCTGCAGGCTTCTGCCTAAAAACCAACAATGATATCACCCTTACTCATTTTTTTACTGTTCTCTGAATCTATAAACAAGAAGAATAGTGTCCACATTCCCTTTTAATTTCTTCCTTTTTGAAAATGTCCAGAGAAGGAGACCTCTCCACCTCTATAAGCAATCAATCCCATTGCCAAACTGTTCTTGTCAGTAAATTCCTTCTAATGTGCAACCGAAATCTACTCTCCCATAACTTCAGACCATTAGACTTGGTCCTACCCCCTGGGGCAACACAAAACAGACCTGCCTGTTTCTTTCTCTGACAGCTTTTGAGTTATTTAAAGAGTGCAATCATGTCAACATTCAGTTTTATCTTCACCTAGTATGAACAAGCCCAGTTCCTTCAGTCTTTCCTCATATGTTTTGTTCTTCATACCACTTATCATCCTCATTACCCTTCTCTGAACCTGCTTCATATATATTAAGTGTTGATTAATATGTCTGCTAACATCAATTAGGTCTCAGGTCTGGTACCCTCAATTGGGTCAATTAGAACTCGGGTCTGGTACCCTCAATCACTGCATCTTGAATTGTAAGCATTTTCATATATGAATGCACATATGAAGGAAAAGAAAGCTAAGTTATTGTGCTCATAAATCTTTTCATGTTTTCTACATCACCCCCACAACAGAAATGTTGAGGAATAATGAATAGTTTGCTGGCCTCTCTGGCATTTTTCTTTAAGGCTACGAGTACTTGAGTCTTGTCTTTCAGGCTTCTAGCATTTGGGGTTTGACTTTTAGTGGGCTTCTTGCTATAAAGCCTAGTCTAGGGACTTCCTCCCCCTGGTATTTGTCTCCCAGAATGACCTGGGGATCTAGGTTGTGGTTTGGGTGCAATTTGGGGGACCAATCAGAGCCAAAATATATTTTATTGACTCCAGACTTCATTCTCAATCACCTTTATCCCTTATTCACTGGGGTCTTGGACACATTACTCTCTCTCAGCCTCAGAGACAGATTGACAACTATTGTTTTCTTTTGTGTCTGCAAAACCACTTTTGTGATTATGTCAGATGGGGATTATTGGCTATTTCATTTTCCCAAGACTACTCTATCAAGGGTAGTCATTTTCCCTACCCTGTGTTTTTTGCTGGGTGGGGCCTGGGCCTGCTTGGCAGTTTGGTGGCCTGTAACTATACAGTTGCCCCTCCATTTGTGCAGACTTGGAGTCTGCATGCCTGCCCATTTGTGGGCAGCAAATGGAGGGGGACAAAATGGGGTGCATACTATTATTTCCAATGGGGCACAAATATTTGTGAGCCACCATTTTCATAGGGCATCCAGAATGGATCCCCCATAGAGGAGCTACTGTAAATTAAACAGGGTTCAACTAAGGCACTTTATTACTTTAAAATCTGCTATTTTTGTGAGGTTGAATAGTGCTTTTTTAATATTGATAATATATGCAAACTTATTTTCCCCTTCCTTCTTTCCTCCTCCTTTGCCTTTCTCATTTTCTTTCTTCCTGGTTTTCTGTCTATTAGGCCTTGGTGTGGCCTCCCCCCCTCAGTGTTTCCGTCTCCTCCCTCCTTCTTTTGTCCAAGGACACAGAAAATGATTTTTTCTGGTTATTTTTTACATGCAACTAGTGGTTGTATGACCTTACAAGCTATTTACTGTAGGCTCTGTTCAATTCTAAGTTTTATTTTAATTGGGCCAGAAGCCGATGTGGTGCAGTGGTTTGGGTGATGAACTGCAACTTGAGACCAGGGTTCTATTCCCAGATTGGCCTCAGAAATCCACTGGGTGAGGTTGGATGGGAGGAAGACAATGCAATTCCTCTTTCAACACATCTTGCCAACAGAAACCCATGAGAGAGTCACATTCTTTCAGCCTCAAAGGACAACAATGGCAAACCACCTTCAAACAATCTGGCCAAGAAAAACCCATGAGAGAGTCATACTCTTTCAGCCTTAGGAAAAGACAATGTCAAACCCTCTCTGAATTTATTTTGCCAAGAAAAAGCCATTTGTTTTAAGCTATATGTCAGACAAAAAAGTTCATAGGCTTTTCTTTTTATATTGGTCTACTCTAATTATCAGTTTTGATTTTACAGTGTTGCTTCAATGTTATTTGAAGTAGGACTTCAATAGGACTTGTGTCCTACACTGATATAGCCTACTCAACCTTTCCAGCCTCCGATGAAGACTTCTAAATGCTCTAAATATAAATGATATTTAATATAATAACATCTCATTTTGATATCTTAGAATAAAAACATGATCACCTGGGCTTCCCAGTTGCTGCTGTCCCAATACCTCTAAATTATGAAGTTATGCCTTACATTGATCAAGGAGGGTTCTACAACCGTGAATGGTTTTACCACAATCTGAACAAGTGTGCACTTGCTTTGGCTCACCTGTGAGTTCTGAGGCTATACCTCAGATTAATTAAAGAGAGTTGCTACAACTGAGTGCTTTCATCTGGTGAGTCTGCTAATATACATAGCAAGCCATTGTGAGATATTTGTGACCCTGGGGTTCTTCTAATAAAAAATATCTATATGTTACCCCACACAATTGCACAAAGTTTAGACAGAGGGCCAATTCCTCCCACATTGCCCATTGTTCAGACACCTTAAAATTTGACTCC